TGGAAAATGGCACTTTAACTTAATATTTATGTCAGTTGCGTTATTTTTTAACATTTGAAAGGGTGGGTGTGGTCTAACAGAATGTCCCCCCCCCCCCACCTCCACCTTTCAAAACAGATCTGCGCCCTTGCGTTTATTTGTTTTTTTTTAATTATTATTTATCAGTTTACACCAACAAAATTAACTCCCTCGAATACAGGAAACGTTACTTCGAATAAACGCCCCGTCAAAACTCTTCTAAACAAACGATCCGGGGCATTTTCGAATCAATAGTGGTTTAATTATTTATTTCCTGATGATGACATAATTAAAATAATAACACGATGGCGTGCATTTTGATACTTGGGAGTATATGTTTATATCTGAGATTAATCAGTGGACCTTTCGGTTTTTAGTTAGTACACAGAAATTTCAGTCTTCTGTCCTCTAGAATAATTGTCAGCCAGCGCACAGGAGATTAAGACAAGAGAGAGAGAAAGGGAGATTCGCCATATAAACAAAACTTGTCATGATGAGTCCCACGGCTGACCGTGGTTCCCAGGTATTTGGAAGTCAGTTTTTGTCGATAACCAGCGCAGTTTTTTACGCATCTTGTTCATTTTTAATATCTAGGCTAGACCTCGGCTATGCCTATTATATTACTATATTATTTACAATATTTACAATTTTAATAGAAAAGATTAATTTTACATGAACATAGTAATTCATATTTAAACAATACATTAAATTTAAATATAATGACGTTAACAAATAAATAACAATAATTTAAACGTGTACATAGTATCACTACTACAATAATAAGATTAATATTTTTAAATCTTATAATCAATTTTATATAGCCGGAGTTAGTTTCGACCTGGGCAAACATTTGCTAATAGGTACACTTTCTCCATCAAAAGGCTTCTTCTATGAATGGAATGACCTGTTCGAAGCACGAACTCATGTAGACCAAACCCAGTACCGTTACGATTTTTAATCGTACGGGAAATCCACTCACGATACAAAAAATGGTCTGTAAATAAATTAATTAAATAATAAATATTTATGGCTGTGTTCTGTGAAAGCATATAGATTGATTGATTTACTTTTATCATCTAGCGCCACCACTCTGTAATGTAAAAGTTCTTTATATAACTGACACCGTAATAAATATGTCCAGTTTAACCCATCGAAATCTTGACCATGAATTCGAGTGAAGCATGTCTGTATTCTACAAGACGAGGCATCCAGCAAGCCTCAATTAAATATCATATGCCAGATTTGGGTATCAATGCAGACGACAAGGTCCTTGATATCGGTTGCGGCACTGGAGATTTAGTTTATGAAATAGGAACACGTGCCTATTCTGTAATCGGTGAGTATATTAATATTTTATTTTCAAATTCAAATTGGCTGAATCTACGCCGATCTTACGTCATGCTGTAGCGCATTAAGATAGGCAGAGTTATGTTTTAAGGTTAGGGTAAAGCCAAGTCGACCAATCAGCGTGTTGGGATTTGCATAATTCTGCGTAGACATAACCAATAAGAGACAGGCTTTGAATCGTTCGTAAATCATTGTTTATTATACCAGTTAGGCCTTTTAAGTAAATGGAACGCGTAAAACAATATAGATGTGTATAAGAGACA